GCAACTGATTTTTGTATGTTGGTTTGACATCCTGCAACTGTAATAAATTCTCTTACTAGTTCTAACAGTATTTGTGTCTGTGGGGTCTTTAGGGTTTTCTGTATGTGAGATCATATCATCTACAGACAGAGATCATTTTACTTCTTCCTTTCCAGCTTGGATGTCTATATATTTCTTGCCTTATTTCTCTGGCTAGGACTTTCTAGTACTATGTTGAATAGGAGTGCTGAGTAGGCCCTCTTGTCTTTTTCTTGTTATTAGAGTAAAAGCTTTAAATCTTTCACCATGGAGTATGATGTCATATCATATATGGACTTTACTTATGGGCTTGTCATATATGGACTCTATTGTGTTAACGTCTGTTCCTTTTATACCCAATCTGTTGAGGGTTTTTATCATGAAAAAAATGTTGAATTTTATCAAATGCTTTGTCTACATCTTTTGAGATCATCGTATCATTTTTATCTTTCATTCTATTAATGTGGTGTATTTATTGATTTGTGTATGTTTAACCACCTTTGCTTCCCAGGGATAAATTTCATTTGATTGTGGTGTATGATTTTTTTTAATGTGCTGTTGAGTTCAGTTTGCTAGTGTTGTTTTGTTTGTTTGTTTTTAGAATTTTTGTGTCTATTCACCAGAATAATCAACCTGTAAACTTTCCTGTAGTCTCCCTATCTGCCTTTGGAGTCAGCACAATGCTGGACTTGTAAAAAGTTTAGACGTGTCCCCTTCTCTTCAGTGTTTTGGTTGAGTTTGACGTGGACTGGTGTTAATTTTTCTTTAAATGTCTGGTAGAATTTACCAGTGAAACCATCTGGCCCTGGGCTTTTCTTTTGGGGAAGTTTTTGGTTACTGATTCAATAGCCTTACTAGTAATTGGTCTGTTTCAGATTTTCTGTTTCTTCATGGTTCAGTCTTGGTGGGTTGTATATTTCCTGGAATTTATCCATTTCTTCTAGGTTAGCTGTTGGCTTATAGTTGTTCACAGTAGTCTTTTTTGATCCTTTGTATTTCTGTGGTATTACCTGTAATGTCTCCTCTTTAATTTTTTATTTTTTTGAGTCCTTCTTCTTTTTTTCCTTGGTAAGTCTAGCTAAAGGTTTGCCTGTATTGTTTTTATTTTCAAAAACCAACTCTTAGATTTATTGATCTTTTCTATTGTTTTTTCAATCTCTATTTCATTTATGTCTGCTTTGATCTCTATTATTTCCTTCCTTCTGCTAACTTTGGGCTTGACTTTTTTCTTTTCCCAGGTCTTTGAAGTGTAGGGTTAAATTGTCTATTTGAGATATTTCTTTTTTCTTAATGTGAGCATTTATCATAATTAACTCCTCTCTTCAAACTGCTTTTGCTGCATCTTATAAATTTTGGTATGTTGTGTTTCTATTGTCATTTGTTCAAGATGTTTTGGTTTCCTTTTGATCCATTGGTTGTTAGAGATTGTGTTTATTTTTCTACACGTTTGTGAATTTTCCAGTTTTCCTCCTGTTATGACTTCTAGTTTCGTGTCAGTGTGGTTGAAAAAGATACTTTCTATGACTTCAGTCTACTTTGGTTTGCTAAGCTTTGCTTTATGACTTATACGATTTATCCAGGAGAATGTTCCACGTGTGCTTGAGAAGAATGTTTAATGTACAGCTGTTGGATGGTATGTTCTGTATGTCTGTTAGGTCCATTTGGTATGAAGCATAGTTCAAGGCCAGTGTGTCCTTACTCATATTCTGTCTGGATGGTCTGTTTATCCATTATTGAAAGTGGGGTATTGAAGTCCCCTACCATTATTGTACTGTTGTCTATTTCTCCCTTCAGATCTGTATTTACTTAATATATTTAGATGCTCCAATGTGGAGTGCTAATGGATTTTTGATAGTTATGTCCTTTGATGCATTGACCCCTTTATCAAAATGACCTTCTTTGTCTCTTGTTACAGTTTTTGGCCTAAAGTGTATTTTGTCTGAGATAAGTATGGCTACCTCTCCTCTCTTGGTTTCATAGGCCTGCAATACCCTTTTTCATCCTTCACTTTGAGCCTATGTGTGTTCTTAAAGCTGCAGTAAGTTTCTTGTAGGTAGCGTATGGTTGGGTCTTATTTTTTTTTTATCCATTCAGCCACTCTGTGCCTTTTGATTGGAGAATTTAATCAATTTAGATTTAAAATAGTTATTGATAGGTAAGTACTTACCATCTTATTGTTTTCTGTTTTGCAGTTCCCCTGTTCCTTTCTTCCCCTCTTGCTCTCTTGCTTTGTGAATGATGATTTTCTGCAGTGGTCGGTTTTAATTCCTTTCTCTTCAACTTTTTTGACTCTACTGTAGGTTTTTGCTTTATGGTTACCACGAAGCTTACACAAAACATCTTACAACTTAGCAGTCAGTTTTATGTTGTCAACAACCTGACTTTGATGACAAACAGTCTACCCTTTTACCTTCCTCTCCTGACATATAAAATGATATTTTGATGTCACAGTGTACATCTTTCCATATTGTGTGTATCCATAGACAAATGATTGTAGCTGTAGTTACTTTTAATATTTCTTAACATTTATACTAGACTTAAGTGATGAATACACTACCATATTACAGTGTTAGAATAGTCTGAATCTGACCACATACTTACCTTTACCAGTGTGTTGTATATTTTCATATGTTTTCAAGTTACTAATTAGGTCTCTTTTGGCCCCGAGCTGTGCCACCTTAGAGAAGGAGCGATGCAGGTCCAGTGAACCTGTTCCTCTTACTCCCTTCAGTGTGTCCAGTCTTGAATTATTTTTATTTTTTGCTCCAATGGTGTGCTGGAACTTTTCCATTGGACTCCTAGACTTTCACAAAGGTACTCTATTCATGGGTAATTGTCAAAATTGGGGTTCTCTGGGGAGGGAAGACAGGAGAAAACGCCTGTTGCACACTTTGATGCAGTCACTCCCTGCTGTGGTCGGGGAAGCTGCTTGCGGCGGCGTGGAATGTGGCTGACCGCTCTAGCACCCTGCAGCGGCAGTGCGTCGCACTAAGTGACAGCTTAAGAACCCGAGAGAGTTTGTGCCTATGTGGTCCCATCCCTTATGACAGGTGATTTCCCTTGCGATTTCCCACGGTCTCCCCGAAATGCACTGGCTGGTACACCTTTCCTTGGCTTTCAGTTGAGCAGAACAGCCTGTGTAGCGTTTTAGTCACCACACGCCTGTTTTGACTTTTCATTCGGTGTTCTGACAGGAATGCAAGACTTCAACTACCTCAGCAGCAACTGCTTTGAGATCACCGTGGAGCTTAGCTGTGAGAAGTTCCCGCCCGAAGAGACCTTGAAGAGCTACTGGGAGGATAACAAGAACTCCCTCATTAGCTACATCCAGCAGGTAAGCGGTCTCCAGTGTACAATGAGAGACTTGAGAGCATTTAAACCGGGTGCACAATAGTCTCCTGAGAGGATCCCAGTCTAGGGGAATCCATCGGACCCAGAATGAGGACACGACACTTGGAAAGTGTGTCATTGGTGGTTCAAATAGGTTGTCATTGTCATAGGCGTGGTTCATGAATATGCTGAGAACTGGTTAAACTGGAGAGTTGCAGAGAGTGAGGGGGGAAAGAATCCTTTTTTTCTTTCATATTGCACTGAGCAAGGGCGACCCTCCTTCCCCCTGATCACCTTGGGTCTGTTGGGCATCCTGGGCAGGACCTAGACTAGAACGAGATAAGTGAGCCACTGAGGATGCAAATTTAAGGAGCCTTTCACTCTCAGGGTCATGCAGGGACAGGATCAGCACCTGAGAGTGAACGAACGCCTCCTTAAATTCTGTGCCCACTTGTCTCACGCTAGACTCAGCTGGATTTGAGGTAATAATAATAATAATAATAATAATAATAATAATAATAATAATAATAATGACAACTTACACTTATTGGGCACTTGCTGTTTCCCAGGCATTGTTCTAAATGTCTCCCTTGTGATAATTAATTCATTTCAGTATTATAACAACACTGTGAGGGCAATTGTAGCATCATCATCGTCTTCTCCATCATCATCATCCCTGAATTAAAAACGAGGAATCAGAGGCACAGAGAAGTTAAGCAGCTTTCCTGAAGTCATTCAGCCAGAATCCAAGCTCTAGTTCCAGAATTACCGTGCCATATTGCTGCTCATGACATACGCTTAGATCTTTACCAGAAGAGAGTCGCAGTACAGAATTTGGGGGAAATCTCACCATGTGTCAGAATAAAATACCTACCTACTCAAACTCAACCCAGGCCAGTGCCCAGCCAGCCCTACCCCTCTGTGCCAGGGAGGCATTGGCATCTGGGGCGGTGCTGGTGGGAAAGACGCGAGGACCCTGTTCCTTGCCTGCAGCGCCTTGACAGTTTCACATTGCATTCCGTATATGGCCATTGACACCCAGTCTAGGAGAGTGATGTTAGTTTCACGTGCTAACAGATAGTCCAGACTGATTTTTAAACTAATTTGACATAAACAAATGCTATTAAATAGACATGTTAGCTATTGACATATATATGTACATATAAGCATAAGCATATGAACCCAGTGCAGTAAAAAATGTAAAATCAGCTTGAGAATCCTTTTACACATGTCGAATATCCATATCACATCTTAGCAAAAGGAATTATCATGGAATAGCTCCACTGATGACAGACAGTGGTTAAAAAACCCCCATTACGCAGGATTTTTTAAATCGGTGGAATCCTACTGCACGTTAACATAAAAAGGTGTTTTTCAACAACAAAACTAAACATGTTGACCCTGGAGCAACCTTAGTGGGAACCCCGGTAGAATGTCCTTTAAGGAGTGTTATATTTGGGTGAATCTTTTAAGAGCAAAATTAGAAAATGTATTTTTGGGTAGAGGAAGTAAGATGGGCCTGTTTGGTGTGTTCTCTGCTTAGATATCAAAGCAGGCTTCCTTGATACAGTGCTTTTCCTGTTATTTACATGTTTTTTCAACAGAAATTTACTGAGCTGCTTTCGTGACCTAGGCACCCTGTGAGGCACTGGGGATAGTGACTGCCCTCCAGGAGGCTCTGTATTAGTGGGGTTCAGGCATCCAGATCTAATTGAAGGGAGGATGATAAGTGCTAAAATAAAGAGTAATGGCAGCGCACAGAAGGGTCCCTCGCCCAGTCCTGTGTGTTCAGAAAAGGTTTCTTGGAGCTATGCTGTCAGACTCACGATACTTGATGTCCATAAGATTGTCACTCCGATCAACAATTGAAATACAAGTTCAGCTGCTGCTTAAGTTCTCTCTTGGTTCAAACCTGCAATACAGAGCGAAATAAAACCCAAACGTGTGCTGTCAGAAAGAGGAGAATGCTTGTTGTATTTAGGGTGGCAGTTGCATTAATCCATCTAAAAGCTGTATCAGTTTATATAAGAATAAGCTGCAAAGAAGAGGGACCAGGTCCTACAGTTCTGTTTTATGCCACTTGGAGGGAGAACTTGATCTTCCCACAGATCGCTGTGACCCACACTGATATTGTCACCCCAAAAGGTTAAGACCCCAGTCCTTGTCATACCTGAAAGGTAAGTTTACTCTCAGGAGACGGTGCGCTGTGTAGTGAAAGATTTTTAAAGGATTTATTTAGAAAAGGAAAGGCACACCCCCAAGAACGGGAGGCAGGCTGATGCACAGGAGGAAAAGCAGCGATTTTTGTCTCCCCTTCTCTCACATCCTCGCTTACAGGGGGCCTCTTGATTGATTGACAGCTCTTGCCCCTGGAGTGCTTAGTCACGTTCGTCCCCTTTGTGCATGTCCTTACCTATGATGCACACAGAAAAACTCATGGTGGGGAGCCTAAACTGAAATGTTAACTATAATACGATGAACATTAGATCATGTCTGATTAAGTCCTTTCTGCTACCATGCAGTCCTAGCCGTCGGTTCTAACCGGTTTCTTGCTGGCAGTCATTTAGAGGAAGTAAAGCCCCTTTATGCTGGAGGCGGGCATAACGCCATCTCCCTGACCATCCCCCCTCTCTTCCACCTGCCTGCCTGGTGTCCCCACTTATCTAACTGCTTGTCAGTATGACATCGGTGTTGTGGTGCAGGCTGTAGAGAAGCAGTCAGAGTGGTGTTTACCATGCACTCACACAGCTCACCTCACAGATCGCTCTAGTTCAGGGAACCCAAGGCTGGTGACAGATCAGTGGAGACTGCCAGATGTCCTGTGTTGACATTGTTTTCTTGACAGTGAAGCAGTATGGTAGTGATTAGTAATTGAACACCTGGGCCTGAAATCTTAGCATGGACCAGTTTTACCACTTGTGGAAAATAGGTGATTAGGAGCTCTAATTCAGTGACTGGCTGAGAGGAAATCTCTTGCAGGGTTTTACAGGGATGTTTGTAGGGACTGGAATCAGAGTTAATTAGGGTAAACAGTTTGCTAAGAAGTGCTCCCACTCAGTAGTTTTGGAACCGTCTAGTTCTCAAAATTTCCAAAGAATTTGTCAAAGAATGCTTCCTGAGCACCTGCATCAGAATCGTCTGGGTTCTTGTTGAAAATGAGTTTCCTGTCCCAGAGCCATTTCAGCAAGCCCTCTGGGTGACACTTAAGTATTTGAGGATTTAAAGGCTATTGATATAAACAATTCTGGCAACAATGAAGAATCTTCTGGGTTTCATTTATTTATTTATTTATTTAGCTTTGGTTGACTGAAGTGTCCTGGAATCCAGGGAGAGAATGATAGGAAGGACAAGTGTAGCATGGTAGTTTCTGCAGGTATGAGTGAAATTCAGACTTCTGGAATTCCCCTTGCAAGAGCCATGAAACGACTGTGTTTCCCAGTCTGCGTTCGTGTGGAGTCGTTACAGCCTGTAACACTTCGACTGAGACTTACTACTGCAGCGGAATTTTTCAGACAAAAAAGTTGTGCGCCACAGTTGGCATTTCAGAGATAGGCACTGACTTCTTTAACTCTGTTAATCGCCTACTGTAATAGAAAGTCTTGGGTTTCAGAGACAGAGAAAGTAAAGTCACGAATAGTAACTGGGTAAATTTGTGCCTCATGCAGGTGAATTATATGTTTTTGGAGTGATTTTTTTGCAATGATGAGGAAAATTTCAAACCTTCATTTCTCTAAGGTTTATAGTATTGATAATATCAGATTATTGTGCCTCAAGACAAATGAATGCATCTCCACAATGTTTCTGATCCCAGTGACTTTCACCATGTTAATTTCATTCAGAAAGCTTAATTTTTATGTTTCCACTGGCTAAATTTCAATCTCTTTCAATTTTAGTTGGCTTATACATAGGTAAGTCTTGGAGGAAAGTCAGAGACTCACTAGCTCCTAAAAATTTTTTTTCTAGATGTCTTTACTCTCTTCTCACCCTACTGGTTGCTATTAAAATTATTGTTTATTATTACTGACAACATGGATAGCTTTTTACCATTGGTAAGTTGCCTTTAGAGAAAAGAATTGTGTGTTACTTTTATAGACTTTAAGAAGTTTTGCTTTTTAAGAAAAAATAACAAATGCAAAAAAAAAATTGCTGATAACCAAGGGCATCCCTTTGATGAACATTATACCACGGCCAGATTTATTCCCTCATGACTAAGGGACACATGAGACTCATTCTACTTTCTGTAAAGAAATATTCAAATATCATTAGTAGCAAAAGAAAATTCATTTTCTGGGACCAGACTGAGTGAGAAGCAACTGGAGCATCTGGAGGGTGGGACGTGTCTTGTTAAGTAATCAAGGTTGATAGAATATCATTTGATGTTTCAGAAGCAGTGCTTTCTCAAAGAATTTAAGTGACTTTCTGTCACTTCAAATACATACTGACAGCTGAATGTTTAAAAATAAACCTGTTTCTGTAGTTTGCTCTGCAATTGTTAGTTGAAAATGGCAACTGAATTCAGGGGCTTGCTCTCAATAGCAAGTCCTTCATTTTCTTTCTAAGCCCACTTTTCAGGTAATAAGTTCACTGACCTTTTGTGCCATGGATTTTCAACCAAAATAGTATTGTCAGTGGGTTTAATGCAAAAGTGCTCACAGTACGGAAACACTATGCTGTTCACCAGAAATGGACACGTTGCAACTGACTATACTTCAATTAAAAAAGAAGTACTCCCAGAATATATCCTTTTCTCTAGAAAGAACAAGTATTGAAGGGCTGTAATGTAAGAGCTTGTTAAATGACAGTGGGCATGTAAACACAAGTGACCACATTTATAATAGAAAGCAATGAAATGTGTGAAGACCAGAACTATTTTACAGAGTTAACAGACTTACTTCTTTTGTTTCATTTTTTTTTGTTTGTTTTGATGGTTTGGAAGATACTGCAGGGTCTTTGACTCAGAATAAGATACTGGTTTTCAGGGAGTTACTTCTTATTTGCCTGCTTGAGAAAAAGCAGAGTAAAGAGTGCACAAAAAAATTCAGTGACGTTTGGAGCATATTTTGATTCTTCAACAAGGGAGATCTGCCGTATTTTGCTAGAAAATCAGGAGATGCTTGATAGGAAGCATGTTTTTAGGTTGTTTCTAATACGAATGTCTTGGTTCTTCTTGACCTTCACAGATACACCGAGGAGTTAAAGGATTTGTCCGAGACCTTCAAGGTAACCCAATTGCCAACGCAACCATCTCCGTGGAAGGAATAGACCATGACGTCACATCCGGTGGGTGTTTTCCGGGTGATCCGAGGCTCTAGTATTGCACAGGAGAGCCTGATGACTTGTTGCCATAGATCTGCTTCTTATACTGTTCTAAGCGGAGCAATTAAATGCCTCATGTCTCTCTACCTCGTCTCTCCCCCAGCATTGCTCTAGTTAAATTTCCTTTGGGGAGCAGGTCAGGCAGTGAGGAGGGCTGCTGTGTTTGGAAGTCGGGGTGCAGCAGGTGGCGCCCTTTCCTC